TGAGTGGCAGCAGCGGCTGCCAGTCGCGCTGCCAGTTCTTCCCGCACGCTTTGTCGCCGGCGGGTCGAAAGGGGCGTGCGCCGGAGGAGGCGACGCCGGCCTCACATTTTTACCCAGGCCTCGAGCCCGGCCGCCAGCACCCGTCCCTCCGTCGGCCGGCCCGTGTCTGCTTTCTCCAGCCTCCGTCGTTCCCGGCTCGGTAAGCTGGAGGCCCCGAAAGTCGCTCGTTTCTTCACAATGGGGTGCCCGAGCCAAAGCGGGAGGGTGGAAGGAAAGCCAGCCTTGGACTTACGTGGTCGGCTTGGCAGACTTCTAGAAGTATGAACTCCACTGGTCGCAGTGGAATTTGCACCCGAGTGAACGTACTCTGCCCGCTTGGGGCCTGCGATCTGGGCGCCTTTCCATTCCTGCGGCAGTAGGGCTGCCGCTCTTTGCAGAGGCGCATGATGCCAACTGGCTTCCCTGCCTCTCACAATCCCGGAGCTTTTCCACCAGACACGATGTTCCCTGCAAGACTGGGCGGAGAAATGCAGAGTGGATCGATCTTACAAGATGAACTTCTAGACAGGCAGCCAATTTCTGCTTGAAAATCGAGGGGGAAGTGAGAGAATGTAGGATGAGCTTTATTTTGGGAATATTGACATGCATCCCCACATAGTTCCTTAATCAGAATGGGTTTAGGCACTCAGTGCCAGTGGCCACCATCCACTGACAAATCAAGTTCTTTTCACAGATAAATTGATTACTGCTGTATAAGTGATAATTTATAAACATGTATTGGAGAACACAAACTTTTAATTCTAGATTTGCTGTATAGGAAGTGTAGTTGAAGGATACAGTATTTTCATTCTGAGAAGTTTGTTATGTTTTGTCATTTACCTACCCCTGATCACCACTGATCTGGGCTGCTGTAACACACTTTATTTGCCTTTGGAGATGACCTGGAGGCTACAGCTGGTACAAAATGCAGTGACTTGACTCTTAGTGGGACAACTCTGATAGGCCAGGTATTGATATTTTAATCTTGGGGGAGCAAGAGAAGAAAAGAAGGATTAGAGACCAGATTTCCCCTCCCCCCAGTTTTTGAAACCTAAAGTAAGTGTAAAATATGGATTTGTGATACTATTTTCTTAAGATTAAGGAGAAATGCTGTTAATAAACTGAGGGACTAGCACTAACTCATTTTATGTCTATTAAACATTTTTTGAGTTCTGAATAATATGAGTTGAAATTAAAAAGCATTAAGAAATGTTTCAAATTTGGTATATCTAAGTAAGCGTAATACTTTTGCTTATATGATTTATCCAATACTGTTTTTATAATTATATATAAATGAATAAAGGATGTCCTGGAGGAAATGTTTAAAGTTCCTATAGTGTTTTGTTTTATATTTTTACTAGGTTTGCTACCAAAAATGTAATGATGTACAGTATTAATTTGTTCTAAAAATAAATAAGGCGGATTCATGGCGGAAAAAGTTATGGATGACTATACTGCATCCAGTATCAGAAGCAGAAAGCCTTTCAAGGTTAATTGTGTCTCTTGAGGGTTTCACATATTGGGTTAGCCACTCTAGAAACAAAATGCTGATCGAGCTAAGTCAGGGATTGCACCTAAGAAAAAAGTGGGTCTCCTCCACATGCAGCATTTGCACCAATTTGGCACTGACACCCTGCTTCTGTCTTCTTGCAACATTACAGGTAGTCCTTGCTTAACAACCACAATAGGGAGCAGAAAATTGGTCGTTAAGCAGGGTGGTCGTTAAGCGAGTCACTGTGACTAGACCTGATTTTACAACCATTTTTACAACAGGCGTTAAGTGAATTACTGCAGTCGTTAAGTGAATTACATGGTTGTTAAGCGAATATAGCTCCCCCAATGGACTTTTTTTTGCTGGAATTTGCTTAACAACCACGTGATTCACTTAACAACCACAGCGATTCACTTAATGACTCTTGTAAAAAAGCTTGCAAATTGCAATCATGTGACCGCGGGGGGTGGGGTGATGGTTTGTGATGGTCGTAAGTGCGAGTACAGGTTGTAAATCACTTTTTCTGAGGCTGTTGTAACTTCGAACTGTTGTAAAATGAATAGTTGTTAAGCGAGGACTACCTGTAACTTTCTTGGATTGCCAAGCCAGTTTTCTTTTGGTTTTTCTCTGATGCAACTGAAATTGCAAAACTTCCATTTTGCAGATTGTGAACTTGGATCTCTACGAGGCTTGGGAGTTGGCCATTTTCTCATTATTGCTATCGTAAATCTTTATCATTTTAGAAAAGCTTGACTTTCCCTAGATAAGCAGGATGTACCATATTTCTGCCTCACCCTGCCTTCCAGAGTCTGAGCTCAAGTAAGCCATTACTCTTCCCTCCCTACCTCAACACATAGACTATACTGCAGTCCATAATAATTTCCTAGTGCTTAGAGAAAATTGAATAGAATGGAATATCAACCATCAAAGATTGAACAGGTTATTTCAAACTGAGTATGTTAAATTTTGCTTTGCTGTACAGTGTATCTGAAGCTTCTGGCACTGTTCTGTGGAGTCCTTGGAGTTCTCTGAGCTTGGTTGTTTTCTTGCAGACATTTCACTACCGGTCTAGGTAACATTTTCAGTGCTAGAAGGGAGTGGGGTTTGCTCTCTGTTTATATACAGTAGTTTGCCCTGTCAGTGTTGGTGGGGGAGTTGTTTTTTCCTTAGTAGTTCTTAGGCTGTTGTTTACTGCTTGATTGTTTGTCTGAGTTGGTAGTTCTTTGATTAGGGTATTGTTTACTGCTTGATTGGTTGCCTGGTGTTAATCCCTGCTTACCTGGGTGTTGATTGCTGGCAAGGAGGTGTTCTGGTCTTTTTGTTTCCTTTTTATTGTCTCTTTTGAATTGTGTGTAGATGTTGTTCATCTCTGTGTGCCTGTTGATGGCTGACTTGTCTGAATACCAAGCTTCCAGGAATTCCCTTGAGTTTTTGGATTTAGCTTGGTCGAAGTTGCTGACAGTTTCCCAGTTGAAATTATGGTTAATTCAGACTTAACCATAATTTCAACTGGGAAACTGTCAGCATCTTAGACCAAGTTTCTTCACCTCCTGCTCTCTGACTAAGAATGCCACCTTTGCTTTACTGCCTTCACAAATGCATGCTGCTTCCTTTCCTAGGTCCATGTTATTTCTACTTTCCCTACAGTATTCCTCTGTGACTTTAGCTCAGCAAGTCATGCCAGAAGTTCACTTCCCAACCATTTTCAGCACAATACAGTATATCTTAGACAAAATGTTGGCTAAATTGCATTTTAATAGCATTATTTTATTATACAGTATTTATATTTGCTTATTGTATTTTTCTTTGTCTATAATCAGAATAGCATGTGGAATAAACTACCACTTTAATGTTCGTATGGATTAAAAATCTGCTGCGTGGGTGATAAATGCCTGAAACATATAGGTAATGGAATACCCCTTCTGTGTCTGTCTTCCTTTTCAGAACTGGAGTGTGTCCCTAGCTGATGCTGAATAAATCTCAACATGGTGGTTGAAACCTTAGGCCTGGGAAGCTCCTCAGCATGGCTGCTGGCACTACTGGGAACTTTCACAGTGACTGTTCTTGGGATAGCACACAAACTGGGGCTGATTTATCATTTCTGGCATCAGGTAAGGCCATTTTAGAACAGAGTTGTAAAAGATAACAACCGGAATCATATGTATCCAGTGCATCCTCAGTGGAGGCTGTATTCTTGGAAAAATTGTTCAGATGATGAAACATTTTTAGCAGGTAGCTTTCAAGAGATAATAAAGATTTAAAACTACACCTAGTCTTTATATGCCTGCAGCTCATTCCTCTGGCTCTATATTAGAGGAAATTGTGGCCACCAGTTTTTTGTTGTATGAATTCTGTGAAATAGCACCAAAAAGCGTCTTTCATCTTTTCTAGGTGGACCCTAAAAGTACTCGGCATGGTGGGGAGACAGTGGCAGAGGTGCTGAAAGCTCATGGTGTGCGCTACTTGTTCACGCTGGTGGGTGGACACATCTCCCCCATTTTGGTGGCCAGTGAGAAACTGGGCATTCGTGTTGTGGATACAAGGCATGAGGCGACTGCTGTATTTGCAGCAGATGCAGTGGCCAGGCTCTCAGGTATTTGATTTGTACCACTTCGTTTTCTGTGGGAGGACACTATGTGATACTATGACATTATGTCTGCGGGTTTTTTTGTTGCAGGAATAGTGGGAGTTGCTGCAGTGACAGCAGGGCCTGGAGTAACAAATACAGTGACAGCTGTGAAAAATGCCCAGATGGCAGAGTCTCCTGTGTTGCTGATTGGAGGGGCAACAGCCACATTGCAGAAGGTAGGCTATTCCAGCCACTGGCCCGAAAGTTTGAAGGAGAACAGAGGCACAGTTTGCTAATACTGCTGATCTGTTTTGTTAGGTACATTGGTTTGCTCCCTCAACCTGAATTAGCTTTCCTGTAGCATCTGTGTGGTGAACAAGCCACTTTTTGTAAATATCTGTGTACCTGAGGGCAAAATCAACTGTTTCTATGTGGGGCTATGAGTGTAAGATTTCACTTTCACTTTTCTCTCCATTCTTCCTCTTCTCAGGGCCGAGGAGCTCTCCAAGATATTGACCAATTATCTCTATTCAAGCCACTCTGCAAATTCTGTGTTTCAGTGAAGACTGTCAGAGATATTGCTCCGGTGCTGCGAAAAGCAATTGCTGTTGCCCAGTGTAACACTCCAGGTATGCCTTTGTGCCACTGATGTGGAACTAATCTGGCCCATTTGCTCATAATTACAATTTCTGAGTAGAGGAGTAGCTTGGTAGGAGCTACTGCTGGAATTAGCTACTTCCATCCCATTTATTAGGATGTTTGACTTAGGTCTCGTCTTTGCTTTTTTACCTATATCCACATATCATCTTGGAAATAGGAAATCTTTCACTTGGGATGGTGCCATTGTTACATACAAGCTAAAGCAAAAATAGAATTTCAAGAGCTCAGGAAGTTACTCTTCAGAACTTACTCATAGCAACTTGGAGACACTTTGAAGAGGCATGTCCTTTATTGTAGTGTAACACTTTTTATTCCTAAATAGTATCTGCCCCCAGCAGTGTGTTTGCCCAACATTTGAAAAAGAACCAGGTCTGGGGATAGCAGCACACCTTTCACACATCTCCTTGGTTCTTAATCTCCCCACATAAGCTTTGGAACTAGCCAGTCAAACAGGTCCGGAGAAGTTATTTGTGTCTGTGGGAGGAGACTGCTTTTCTTCTCCCTTTTTTAAATTATTTTTTTTATCCTGCCTTTATTATTTTTATAAATGACTCAAGGTGGTGAACATACCTAATACTCCTTTCTCCTCCTATTTTCCCCACAACAACCACCATGTGAGGTGACTTGGGCTAAGAGAGTGACTAGCCCAAAGTCACCCAGCTGGCTTTCCTGCCTAAGGCGGGACTAGAACTCACACTTTCCTGGTTTCTAGCCTGGTTCCTTAAGCACTAAACCAAACTGGCTCTCTTTGAAGTTCAGTTTCAACATAATCTTCCCTCCTGGATTCAGCATCTTTATGCCATGCGCTAGAAGATCAGATACAAGGAAATACCATGGCTACTTAGCAAAGAATTCCCACAGATACTCAAAACTAACATTTCTAAAATAGGGAACACAGACCCAGATGGCAGCAGGGAAGCTGGTTGGCTTGAATGGGAGTAAGAGTTTTTAGTTTAGTTTTAGCTTAGTTTATGTTAAGTTATGGAGGGTTTTATCAGTTTGGATGGGTAGTTTTGGGGATTGTTTTGTTTTATGAGAGACCATTTTCATTTCTGGGAAACTGCTGGGGTGACTATGGTTGCTTTGGTGGAGCTGCTGTTAGAGGCTATTCAGACTGTGCTGCTGCTGGAAGCTGCTGAGTCTCCTGCATTACCTCTGAAGATTCTTAGCCATTTTTTAGGCTTTCTCAGACTTTCCAGTTGAGATTTGGTGGCAGCCTGCAGGAGCTGCAGCAGCTGGCCTGGTGGCCAGAATGATGAGCTTCTTCTCACGATGTGGGAGGAATCAAGGCCATTGGGGTTATGGTGCTGGTATCAGTGCTACTCATATGATTAGTAGTGCATTTTTACTGTGGCCACCATTTTTAATCTTGTGCTGGGTGGAGTGCAGTGCTGATTATTAACCATTATTACAAGCTTTGTTGTGACCACCAGACATTTCTGGACTCTGCTGAATCTGCTGTGGTGTTGGAGAGTGAGGAGTAGCAAAGCAGCAGTGGTAGATGGCCTCTGTGGCTAGACCTTTTTGATGGATACTCTGTCATCTTGCTTCCCCTAGGCCTGTGCCAGTATCATGGCAGAACTGTAGCTGTTCCTAATTGTATATTTTGGGAACTGATTTTATTGGACTGGCCTGAAGATCTCTGCAAAAGTTTCTGTTTCAGAGGTGGCTGGGTGTGAATGCTTATGTGCTCACTTAGGCCAAGGGATAAGCTAGGGATCTTTGGGATAAGCTAGGGATAAGCTAGGGATCCCTTGGTATATTGACCACCTTGCAGCTTCCTAGAATCCCTTTCTCAGCTTCTGGATGTGGTTGCTGGCTTGGTGGTGGAGACACCCCTATCTGTTGATACTGGGAACTTCAGCCTCCATATAGAGGGGGTTGAGTCTAATAGAGTCTGGGAGTTCACGGTCTCCATGATAACCATAGGCATAGGACAAGCTTCTAATAAGGACAAGCTTCATAGGACAAGATTCTAATCCACAGTTATGGATTAGACACACTGTTTTACAGTGTTCTACTCCTTCCCTCAGTAGCCAGTTCCAGTCAGTGATGACTGGGAAGAAAAGACTAGTGCAGTGGTTGCTCTCTTGTGGCAGAGGTTGGTTTTCTCTCCACCCCCTGCTCTATTATTTAACATCTACATGAAGCTGCTGCAGGAGGTCATCTGACATTTCAGGGTCTGGTATCATTAGTATGCTGATTATACCCAGCTATATGTTGCGACCCTGGGCCATACTGGAGATGCTCTCATTGTCCTGTCCTGGTGTCTCTCCCAGGCTGTAAGGGTCGGAATGTGACAGAACAGGCTGAAATTGAACCCTGGTAAGACATAACTGTTATTTGTACATTGGAGTTTCTTCATGTCCCCATTGGACAGAATTGTACTGCTCCTGAGGAAGAAGATATGCAACTAAGGGGTCCTCCTGGACTCACAGCTCCTGCTGGATCAGCAGGTAGAGGCTGTGGCCAGGGAGGCCTTTGCTCAGTTGACCACAGTGGACCTGATCACTTTGGCTTATGCCCTCATCACACCTGATTAGATTACTGCAATGTGCTGTTCATGGGGCTGTCTTTAATGATCACCTGCAGCTTCAGTTGGTACAAAATGCAGTGGCTTGGGTTCTTGCCAATAGGCACATATTACACCTGTTCAGGCCCTGCATGGGCTCCATATCAGTTTCTGTGTGCAATTTTAAGTTCTGGTTTTAATCTTTAAAGCCTTTTATAGCTTGGCACCAAGTTACCTGCAGGACTGCGTCTCCCTAGTAGAGTTGGCCTGACTACTTTGTGCTGGGAGAAACAGCTGGCTATCCCCATTTTCAAGAGGCTGGAGGGAGTCAAAGCCCAGAAGGGTGGTTTTTCTGTGATGGTGTCGACTCTTTGGGAATGGCAGCCTTTTGGAGGTTCAGCTGGCCCTGCCATTATCTGGCTTCCAGAAAAAGCTGAAATCACAGTTTTTCCAAATACTGTTTTTGTGGGGATTTGAGTATTTATAATATTCTAGTGGATGTTGTCAAATGGAAGGCAGACCCCAAAGTTTTAGCAGTTTTGCAATAAGAATGGTCATAATCTTGGCAGGGAAGTATGGTTCTTACCTAAAGCTTTTTGAAGATAAAAGGTATTCCATCTTTGAGAAGAGGCTTACCAATAGGATTATATGGAAAAACAATGTGGTTATAAATATCTTGTTTGTCTGACAGCAAACAAGGTATATATTATTGTTTGACCCATTAATAGCTTTATTTAGTCATCTTGCTTCACAGAGGATATTAAAATAGCATTTTCTGTATTAACAGTAACCTTGAGGGTTACTGCTTATAATTGGGGGAAAAAAATCAAATATCCCATAAGTGATAATTTAGAATATGTGACAACTGGTAAATTGTTTAAGAGAGTTAGAATGAAGACAGCAAAACAATTGTCTCAGAGAAAGACTCTCTGGGGGAGATGGGCAGCATATACATTTAATAAATAAATAAATAAATAAATAAAATAAGGCTGAATATTTTTCTAGCATGTTGAAATGATAAAATGTAAGACACAATAATGCCATATAAAATATTGTTATTCATTTAACTACAGAATTTTCTTTGAAGTTTTAATTTTTAATAAAACCTTTTGTTAATCTTACAGGCCCTGTGTTTGTGGAGTTTCCTTTGGATGTTCTGTATCCTTATCATTTGGTTGAGAGAGAGCTATTTAGGAATGCTCCTTCCAAGAGCCTGAAAGGAAAGGCGATGAACTGGTGAGTAGTGAATTGATCTCCCTTCCCCAGCAGTAAAGGTATTAATTGATCAGCTGGCTCAAAGAAAGCTCAGTGGTAAGTTGTTGTAGAACAGAAAACCAAGGGGGAGCATTGGATGCTACTATGGAATACTTTTTGTCACATATAGTATATGTATATATACATACATATACACATACATACATATACACATACACATACACACACCGTTTCTGATAATTTCTGGATTGTTTTGTTTCTGATTGTCCAGGGAAAGTATGAAAAAGGACTAAGATAGTTCCAGGTATCCTAGGTTATTTTTCTTAGATTTTTTAAAAAATTTGATTTTCCTGGAAACCTCTCTAGGCTAAAATAATTATAACATCTAAAAGCTTTCTGTTCCTAACCCTTCCTTTTTATAGGACAATTTCTAAATTTGGCCGAGTATTTCAGCAACTTTTTACAAAGTTGTTTATAGCATCCTTCTGTTTTGATTTATCTGTTTAGAGGTTATGAGGTACTGCATTGCCGTGGCTTCATCTTGTTGATATGGTTCATCACTTAAGTTTGTTGGGTGAATATGGCCTTTCACTAAAGGGGAATTTTTCAATAAGGATGCAAAAGTTTAGGCATCTCTGAGCAAAGTTTATGTTTCAATTAATCCCTAAATGAATATAAGCTGACAGAACCATCTCACAGTGCATACTTAAATACAACATATTTCTCCAAATTTGAATGCATACTTACTGTTCATATGCAGTTGTTTACAGATTCAAAATAAAAAACAGGGTATATGGCAGGTGCAAAACTTTCAGTCAGTACACACTTTCTTTGGCAGAAATAATAGGTTCTGCATGTTTCCAGCTCTTCTTGCTTTTGGAATTTTTTCCCACTGTTCCATGCAAGGCTCTTCTTCTTTTTTATAAATCTTCTTTGAGTTAATCTTGAGTCCTGAAAACTGCATTGGCACATCCATACAGTTTTCTTAGCAACATTTTCAGAAATGGTTTGCCATTACCTTCTTCCTAGGGCTGAGGCAGAATGACTGGTCCAGAGTCACACCTCTGTTTTCCATGCCTAAGGACTAAAACTCAGGTTTCTTGTTAAGTCCTTATGACTTAACTACTAGATGGAGTTGGCTCCACAAAGTTTTCTAACTCAGAAATATGCCTTCTAACAGGCATTGCATGTTTATGATCTCCCCACAACGGTATGTCAGCTTTTCATCAGTATGTAAGGCTGAGGACTATGGAGGCCATTTCAAACCCTGAAGCTGAAAGAAGGCCGCATGTTTCATCAATATATCAGTCTGGAACATACCTTCAAAACAACCATAAAATTGTTACAGAAAAAAAAAAAAAGGTTTTGGAATGGCCTTCCAGTGTTTAAAATGTAAAGTGGAGGTTTTGTGGATTGGGAATGGATTGATTGTGCACATGATTGCCATTTGTGACCTCCAGCTGGCTTCCCCATTGACTTTGCTTGTCAGAAGCTGGCAGTAAAGGTTGCAAATGGCAATCACATGACTGCAGGATGCTGTGATGTAATTGCGAGCTGGTTGCCAAACACCTGAATCGCAATCATGTGACTGCGAGGATGTTGTGACACCCAAACTGCAAGGACCTGTCGTAAGTCCTCCTTGTTCAGTGCCATTGTAACTTTGAATGGTCGCTGAATGAATGGATGTTAAGCAAGGATTATCTGTAGATTCATTCTTATAGAACAATCAGATATAGGCAGTCCTCACTTAGCGCCTCCCACTTGGTTGTTAAGTGAATCAGTCGCTAAATGTAATTGGAATTGTGCTTATGATCTTACTTCAGCTTTCCTTTGCATTACACACTGGTGAAGGTCATAAATACGAGGATTAGTCAAAAAGTTATTTTCATCACTGTTGTAACTGTGAACAGTTGCTAAATGAGGCAGTCGCTATAGGAGGACTACCTTTATGTTATCTGGGGATTTTCTTAGACTTGATGCTATATGAAGAAAACTGATTGGCCCAGAAAAGTGCAGCATTTTAGATCCAAAGCCAAAAAGGTACTTAGAGTGGGTGAGGAAGCACTTTTGGCACCTACTTAACTCAAAGACATGTTTTCCTGGGATCACATGGTGATTGTGTGAGCCCAAGAAAATTTGCAGCTTTAAGGAGCCACTACCAGCTCTAAAGCAACTTTTGATGCAAACAGCTGCATATTCTTGAATGGCAAGTGACAAGGAATGCTATTTATCAGTTTGGGCTAATGTGCCAGCCACAGCTATTGGAAATAATTAGTGCTAATCAGTAAACCACTTTTTAATTATCTATAAATTAGATTTTTGTGGTCTGTTCTAAGGTGAGCTACAGGTAGGCTAGATCCAAAATTCCAATAGGTGCAAAAGCTGAGCATGCAACAACTATTTTGTTCCAGTTGCAATGGGATCCAGTTAATTTCCAGATAGTTTTTAGGGTGCTGGTTGTTACTCTATATCTTTAAACCAGGAGTGGGCGGTGTTGTGAGCACCAAAGGCACTTTCACTTTGCTAGATTCATGTAATAAATAATTCTTAGCTTGATATAATTTATATACTTCCTAAGTCTTGCAAAAAATAATTATTGCTATCTTATTACTGTTGATTCTCTTCTTTAGACCAAGGATTTGTTGTTTGGCCTTATACGATCTCTGCATTCTGATTTTATGTTTCATAACCTAAAAAAATTCTAAAATTCTTTTACTGAGAATCTGTCCCTGCTGTTTAACAATGGACTTGACTGCTTCTGTCCCAACAGAATATTTAAATAGGTTGTTTCTCTGAAAACTTAAACCACTGTGTACATTGTCTCTCTGAGCATTGTTATTTGGCAATGGCAAAACATTTGCAGGCTTTCCAGGTGGGGTGAGATCACCTAAAATTGGGCATTTTATGTTATGTAAACTTACTCAAGCACATTGACAGAACAACAATCAAAACAGTGGTTAATAATAGGGAAAATATCCCCAATTCCCTGTGGCATGAAATGTATCTTACCACACAAATATTCTAAAGATTGGAACTAAGTAAAGCAGTACACAGTTTATAGCACATAATTGTGTTAATATCTTCCAATGGATAACAAGTTGAGCTGTATACTATACCTGTATAACTCTCAGATAAAAACTTTGTGTGCGTATGTGTGTTCCTCTTTATAGCAGGAGGTGCTGGCCTATACATACAACATATACACACATGCATTCTCTTTTTCTGTATGTATGTGTGCATGTATGTACTGTATGTATAATTCATTGAACAGCTAGTTCTACACTCCATAGATTCCTGTCATTCTTCATGTTGCTACTGAAGTTTTCTTTAGCATGTTATGTTTGGTATTTGCTTTGAAATGCCACCAATTTTCCATGAATGTTGCCCCTTTCCACACATGCGGAGAGCCATATCAACTTGTTCTCAGTAGGAATTTATAAAGGGGGAGTGTTTTAATCAAAATCTTTCTCATCTCAAACACATATTTAAAATTACCTTTCTTACCTCTTCCATTTCCTCCTTTCCACTCAAGTTCCTCGTACTCAGCTTATGTTCAAAATGTTGCAGGGGATAGAATAATTATGAAAAAGAAGAGACAGCCTCATGCCAAAAATAAAAGTAAGCCAGTAAAGGACAGGTGTGATGTCTATAGCATATGGCAACCCATCGAGCAGCTTTCAGGATGTTTTGGTGAGGCTTCTTTCTCTTCCCCTGTCCCCTCCAGCCAAGAGATCCAGCAATTTTTTAAAAAAATAATATTTTATTGAAATTTTAAAATTACAAAGTTAAAAGTTAGAGATGAAAAAGAAAA